AAAGGACTCAAGCTGTTTTTCTGATCACTGACTATTGTCATAGACTGAGTCATTTTTCATTTGAGCCCTCTTTCAGCTATCACTTTTGCTACCTGTGTGCTTGCTTCTAGAAACAATCTGTGATTGGAAGACAAAGAATGGTTGATTAGAACTTTATGTAAATTAAAAATCACCAAGCCCTGCATGAGCTGAAGAGACTCTCCTATGGTATAAAATGCATGGATTTCCTTTTATAAGTTTCTGTGACCTGGGAGCCTTTTATATTTCTTCCCCATTTTAGCCATGTCTTAGAGTTGAGAGTACATGAAATGTGATCTCTAAATTTGAGAAATTTTAACATATTTCAAAATGTAATGTTGAGCATCCTTTGATATACCCTTTCATCATTTGGATGTCTTTGGGGAAAAAACATCTATGTTTCCTCTGCTTATTTTTAAATTGAATTATTTGTTTTTTGTTGTTGAGTTGTATGAGTTCTTTATATTTTGGATATTAACTTCTTATCTAACATATGGTTTGCAAATATTTTCTCCTGTTCTGTAGGCTGTCTTCTCATTTTGCTGATTGTCTCATCTGCTGTTTAGAAGCTTTTCTGTTTGCTATAGTCCCACATATTGACTTTTGTTTTTGTTGCTTGTGCTTTTTTTTTTGGTCATATTCAAAAAAATTATTGCCAAGATCAGTGAGCTTCCCTATATTTCTTCTAGGAGTTTTATAGTTTCAGGTGTTATGTGTAAACCTATAATCCATTTTGAGTTATTTGTGTGAGTATTGTGAGATAGGATTTCAATTTCAATTTTCTATATGTGGAAGTAAAACTATTTGATTCATGGCATTTATTGGACTGAAGGAAATTTTAAAAGGAGATTTATAATTTGGGTAAGGAGTCAGTGTCATAGCTGATACTAATCAGGTGGCTGTGTTAATCAAGATGGAGGGGGGTCTTTGCCATGTTAAAATCTTTATTTGCTTAACACATAGGCATTTACTTCTTTATGCAAAGCACACTCTTGTCTGAGGACTCTGAGGTAGATTTCTTCCAAATGGTGCCTCGGAGATCTTGTAACCTGGGGGATATGCAGTTACTGGGGTCACCACAGCAGAGAGATCATGGAGAACTCACACTTGCTCTCAAATGCCTCCACATTAATGCTTCAGTCCAGAGATGACACCCATCAATGCCATCTCCAGTCCATTGACCAATGAAATGGCTGCCAGAGGGCTGGAAAGTGTGAACTTCCTGTGTGTTTGCAGAGGAATGGAGAATCAGATATGGATGAGTATGAAGTCTCAATGACAGTGACTTTGGGCAAGTAACTTATCTATATGACATGGGGGTTGGACTAGATGATTTTAGAATCCTTACCTCTTCTCACAATTCCTGAGTCTACATATTTGACCTCCTATTAGCCTTGGTTTTTTAAAAAATATTTCCTTATATATTTATTTGACTGTGTCGGGTGTTAATTGCGGCACTTGGGACCTTTTGTTTGACCCATGGATTCTCTAGCTGTGGTGCATGGGCTTAGTTGCTCTGTGGCATGTGGGATCCTAGCTCCCCAACCAGGGATCAAACCCATGTCCCCTAAATTGCAAAGCAGATTCTCAACCACTGGACCACCAGGGAAGACCCAGCTCTGTGCTTTTGACTACTTTGTAGGAATTATTTGATTGTTACCCTAAGGAGGTTGGTCTTCCCTGGTCACTCAATCGGTAAAGAATCTGCCTGAAGTGCGGGAGACCTGAGTTTGATCCCTGTCTTGGTAAAATCCCCTGGAGAAGGAAATGGCAAACTACACCAGTATCCTTGCCTAGAAAATCCCATGGACAGAGGAGCCTGCTGGGATGAAGTCGGGCACAACTGAGTGACTAACATTTTCACTTTCACTAAGGAGGTCAGATACGTTAATGCTATTAATAGTAAAAGACTTTTATTTTATGGTATAGCTGATGGTCAAGCTGGAGGGCTCTGAAGACATGATCTGGTTTTGAATCCAGCTTCATCTCCTACTGGCAGTAGGACTCTTGACTATTTGTTTAACTTCTCTATGATTGTTTTTCTTTTCATTCAAATGGAAAATAGGGATAGGAATAATAACATCCTTAAAGTATGAGTATTAAATGAGGCAGGTTGTGTAATGTTTTTGGAGGAGGTCAGGAACAAAGAGTTCAATAAGTTAGTTTCATGTTATTTTTTATTATTATTTTAAAAAGATAAGAAGTCCTCCTTGTCCTGTTTTAATAAATTTCTACATGGCAGCAGCTCAGTAGGTTGTCAACCTTTGTGTTGGTGTGATTAGCCAGCCCAACCCATGCAAATCTCCTTAATCTACTGATGTGCAAGTTGGAGTCACAAACACTGCCTATAGGTGGATCTGGGTCTTTACACAAGACCATGAGCCTTTTGGGATTTGTGTCTCATCTGCTTTAGCTTAGATTTCATCCCTGCCTTGTCCCGTCTTGACTCCCTATCCGATGGATCCTGCCTTTGACTCTTGCAAGCTTGAGATTCCTGCCTGGTTCTGACTTCATAGGCTGACCTCCTTGATTCTTGGGGAATCCACTTACCTCCAGTGGGACCTCCCTACCCTAATCTCAGGCTCTCAGAATCAAAACCCTTCCTTAGCTTCTGGTTCACACTGAGGCTTGGTCTTGGCCTCACACAGTGGAGGGAGTATCAGACAGATACCCCTCTCAATTCATTGGCTCTACCATTTGAGTCTGGCTATCTCAGAGGCCACCTAAGCTTATAACCATCCCAAATTGATGACAAACCCACAATGTTAAGTTCTCCTGCAGACATTTTATCACTCCAGGTAGAATATTTGAGTAAGAACTTTTTCTTCTTTCCCCTGGATCTTAAGTGGGTTATCCTTGGGAAAAAATCAGACAAACTGCAGCAAGAAAGAACATGAGAATTGGTATGCATTTGCTCTATAGCATGGGGATGGCCTGCTTTCCTTCCCCTTTGCTTTTTGGCTGATCCAAGGCAGGGGTGGGGCTGGGGGATGGGAGGAGGAATGGAATCCTCTGTGAATGGTTCAAGTACATTTGCTCCAGGCAGGAGGAGACAGTAGTTCTCACCAGGCAAGCTCCCTCCTCAGGCTGGTTCTGCTCAATACAAGAAAGACAGTGTACTTTAAAAAAAATTTTTGATTATCTCTCTTTTAAAAAATTTTATTTCGTTTTGATTATGCTGGGTCTTCATGTTGGCTCATGGATTCTTTGTTGCTGTTTAGGTTTTCTCTAGTGGCAGGTTTTCTCTAAAGGAGTGGAGGGCTGCTCTCTAGTTGTAGAGCACGGGTTCTACAGCGCACAGGCTCAGTAGTTGCGGCACTTTTAGTTTTGACCAGAGATCGAACCTATGTTCTCTGCATTGGCAGGGGATTCTTAACCACTGGGACACCAGGGAGGTTCTGACAATGTGCTTTAGTGTCAAGCTCCCATTGGCCCTAGAGAACATTGAGTCCCATTGGACTTTGATAAGCAAGTTGCTTTCTGTTTCTCTTGGTCCGTTTTCTCCCCAAGTTCTATCAAAGGATTGTGTTGGGATTTTTCCTGGTGGTCCAGTGGTTAAGACTCTGCACTCCCAATGCAGGGGACACAAATTTGATCCCTAATTGGGAAACTAAGTTCCCAGATGTGGTGAGGTGCAGCCAAAACCTCAAGAGCAATGAAAAGGACAGTGAGGTACTTTTCCCCACAAATGCACCGTTCAGGTGGGAGATGCTATGAATCTGAGATTTATGTGGAAGGAAAAATTACATCAAAGATATTGTCCTTCGTCCCTGAAATCATCATGATAAATGCAGCTGTAGCCCACTTTCCCCCAATCAGCCTTCATAATCTTGTATGGCAAACAGGTCAAATTTGTCACTGCCAAATGCAGTAGATTCCTGTGTGGTTTTGGAAAGAGACAAATCATCAGAAAAATTTCCAAATGCTCTGCCAAGTTATAAAGCTCCACACTGTTTATCTAACAGTAGAGAAATAGGGAAGTTTGGCAATTCCAATTTTATCTCAATTTTAAAATCCTCTGGAAGTTTTGCAAATAGCAAAAAACCTCTTCCCCAAGGTTGAGTATGTCAAACTCTAATAGGGAGATCTATAGAACCAAGCTTGAGGAGTACACCAAGAAAACGACTGTGCTATAAGGTTTTAAAGGTACAGAACCTGCCACACTTGGGCATCCACATTCAACTTAATAACTCATTTGCATCATGCGGTAGAGTTAGCAAAGAACTTTAAAAAAAAAATACCTGCTCTCCTCTTTCCTCCCCGCCTCCCACTGCTGCTGGGACCCCGTGTCGTCGCGCGCTGCAAGCACGATGCCCTCCAAAAAGGGAGGTGATGGAATTAAACCATCCCCAATCATTGGAAGATTTGGAACCTCCTTGAAAATTGGTATTGTTGGATTACCAAATGTTGGGAAATCTACCTTCTTCAATGTACTAACCAATAGTCAAGCTTCAGCAGAAAACTTCCCATTCTGCACTATTGATCCAAATGAGAGCAGAGTACCTGTGCCTGATGAAAGATTTGACTTTCTTTGCCAGTACCACAAACCAGCAAGGAAAATTCCTGCTTTTCTAAATGTAGTGGATATTGCTGGCCTTGTGAAAGGAGCTCACAATGGGCAAGGCCTGGGAAATGCCTTTTTATCTCATATTAGTGCCTGTGATGGAATCTTTCATTTAACACGTGCTTTTGAAGATGATGATATCACACATGTTGAAGGAAGTGTAGATCCTGTTTGAGATATAGAAATAATACATGAATAGCTTCAGCTTAAAGATGAGGAAATGATTGGGCCCATTATAGATAAATTAGAGAAAGTGGCTGTGAGAGGAGGAGATAAAAAACTAAAAACTGAATATGACATAATGTGAAAAGTCAAATCCTGGGTTATAGATCAAGAGAAACCTGTTCGATTCTATCATGATTGGAATGACAAAGAGATTGAAGTATTGAATAAACACTTATTTCTGACTTCAAAACCAATGGTCTACTTGGTTAATCTTTCCGAAAAAGACTACATTAGAAAGAAAAACAAATGGTTGATAAAAACTAAAGAGTGGGTGCACAAGTATGACCCAGGTGCCTTGGTCATTCCTTTTACTGGGGCCTTGGAACTCAGGTTGCAAGAATTGAGTGCTGAGGAGAGACAGAAGTATCTGGAAGTGAACATGACACAAAGTGCTTTGCCAAAGATCATTAAAGCTGGGTTTGCAGCACTCCAACTAGAATACTTTTTCACTGTAGGCCCAGATGAAGTGTGTGCATGGACCATCAGGAAAGGGACGAAGGCTCCTCAAGCTACAGGAAAGATTCACACAGGTTTTGAAAAAGGATTCATTAAGGCTGAAGTAATGAAATATTAAGATTTTAAAGAGGAAGGTTCTGAAAATGCAGTCAAGGCTGCTGGAAAGTTCAGACAACAAGGCAGAAATTATATTGTTGAAGATGGAGATATCATCTTCTTCAAATTTAATACACCTCAGCAACTGAAGAAATAAATTTTAATTATTGCTCAGATAAAATGTACAACTTCCAAAAGGCATATACTTTTTTTTTTAAATTAAAATTTCTGAAAACTGAAAGGGGAGGTAAAGTTGGGGTGATGGGAATCTTCCACAAACAATTATTTTTATTTGTTTTAAAATTAAAATACTGTGTACCTCCAATGAGATGCAAGTTCACTAAATGTGAACAGCTTTGCTTTTCACGTGATTAAAACCCTACTCCAAATTGTAGAAGCTTTTCAGGAACCATATTACTGTCATGGTACTTCATTAATCTCCATCATGTATGCCAAGCCTGACACATTTGACAGTGAGGACAATGTGGCTTGCTCCTCTTTGAATCTACAGATAATGCATGTTTTACAGATGTCTACACTCAATAAAACATTTGACAAAATAAAACAAAACAAAAATACCTATATTAATCAGGTGATTTTTGCGTTAGTTTTTATTTTTGACACAAGGAAAATGAAACTTAGAAGGATAAAGATCACTGAGAAAAAAAGCCTCAATCTTCAGATTCCGAATTACAATCTTTTCCATACCCCCAATGTTTCTGTTTATCTTTTGCCCTTGGTGTTGAAAGTAGGACTGGTGTAAATTTGAAGAGGAGCTCTGTAGACTTGGAATAGTTTGTCTACCCTTTGGTCTGAGAAAAGCAGGACTGTCAGTATTTCTGGGGAACGTGTATGAATGCTAAGTTGCTTCTGACTAAGCTAAGTCATGTCTGACTCTTTTATGACCCCATGGACTGTAGCCTGCCAGGCTCCTCTGAGCATGGGATTTTCCAGGCAAGAATACCTAAGTGGGTTGTCATTTCCTTCTCTGGGGAATCTTCTCAACCCAGGGATCGAACCCACATCTCTTATGTCTCCTGCACTGGCAGCCAGGTTCTTTACCACTGGTGCCACCTGGGAAGCCTGGGAACATGCCTGGGAATATGGGTTTTGGAAATTCCTAGGGGAAGGAGAGCCATGGTGAGTCCTCTATCACACGCAGTCTTCCTCCCACTATGGTCAGAGCTGGGACCTCCTTTATAGCAGGAACTTGGGCTCCCAACTGAATGGAATAACATTCCTCAGTTGTATTTTCAGGTTTAACATATGACAGGTACCTAAGGAAATCAATAAACATTCTCTCCAGTTTGGAACAGAAAGAACTCTGTTCTCTCTTCTATTCCTTGTAGTTTGAGGTCGAGATTTAGCTGCGACAAGTGAAAACATCAGTCAACTGATGATGGGACTGCTTTTGGGTTCAAAGGGATTTTTCAGCCCTTTGTAAAACCCATAACGTGATAAGGTATCAGTATGTCAGCCCTGTGTACTTAAAATTATTTTCTTTGCCAGCATAATGATAAGTTCATTGTGCCAAACTGCTCATCAATTTTAACTTTAAAAGTGTTCCCAGAGGTGGCTTGGCGTACAGTGTCCAATGCACATATTCTCCATAGAGGTCCAATACTCATTCTTGTGAGATTTTGCTTGGATGAGTTCTTTACTGGAGATAACAGAGTTCCCTCCTGTTACCTAAAGAAGAAAGGGCTTTATGAAGGGAGAGAGGTCACTTGCAGAGTCTTTGTGAAGGTTAACAACAGAGAATTGAGACTGAGCTTCTAGGAACCTCTTGCCTCCCCACCCCCCTGCTCCCGCCACCACCAACTTAAACTGCAGAACTGATCTGGTTAGGGGTGAGCTGTCTTGGTCATAGTTACGGAATAAGGAAGCAACTCAGAGTCATGCTGCCATGACATAAACTAGTAAGACGGATGTCCCATGCCCTCTCTGCCCAAGTAGCTCAGTTCTGAATCAAGGTCTCACATGAGTGCCTCTGAAAGGCAAAACCTAAACTACATCTGGCATTCAAGGCAAATGAGGATCTAGCCTCTGCACACAGGTGGGCCTAGAAAGGGTGTGGAGTGAAGTTTGCCACAGTATCTGCTGCAGGGCTTTAAACTGCCTCTCTGCTGTCCTCCGGTATATTAAAGAGCACAGCTGACTTCCCCTCCACTGGTCCTCCCATCTGTCCTCTCTGTCTATTACCCATCTGTTGATCTGAGTTTTGCACTTTTGGTATTGTTTCCTTTTGCAAAAAAAAAAAAAAAGAAAAAGAAAAAGAAAAAGAAAACAACCAGATACTGAATGTATTTAAAAGATAAAGATTTCAAAAAATATATAATCACAGCAGCATTATCTCACTAACATTCTAAATAATAATCCCTTAATATCACCAAATAGCTAGTCGGTTTTTTCCCAACTGTCTCATAATTTTGAAAAACAGTTTGAATCAGGTTCCACAGAGACCACAATCTGGGTGTTATATGAAATAGTTCAGTTCAGTTCAGTCGCTCAGTCATGTCCAACTCTTTGCAACCCCATGAATCGCAGCAGGCCAGGCCTCCCTGTCCATCACCAACTCCCGGAGTTTACCCAAACTCATGTCCATTGAGTCAGTGATGCCATCCAACCATCTCATCCTCTGTCGTCCCCTTCTCCTGCTGCCCTCAGTCTTTCCCAGCATCCGGGTCTTTTCAAATGAGTCAGCTCTTCACATCAGGTGGCCAAAGTATTGGAGTTTCAGCTTCAATATCAGTCCTTACAATGAACACCCAGGACTGATCTCCTTTAGGATGGACTGATTGGATCTCCTTGCAGTCCAAGGGACTTTCAAGAGTCTTCTCCAACACCACAGTTCAAACGCATCAATTCTTCAGTGCTCAGCTTTCTTTATAGTCCAACTCTCATATCCATACATGACTACTAGAAAAACCAGAGCCTTGACTAGATGGACTTTTGTTGGCAAAGTAATGTCTCTGCTTTTTAATATGCTGTCTAGGTAGGTAGCTCAGATGGTAAAGCGTCTGCCGACAATGTGGGAGACCCAGGTTCGATCCCTGGTTGGAGAAGAACCCCTGGAGAAGGAAATGGCACCCCACTCCAGTATTCTTGCCTGGAAAATCCCATGGATGGAGAAGCGTGGTAGGCTACAGTCCATGGGGTCACAAAGAATCGGACACAGCTGAGCAACTTCACTTTCACTTTCTAGGTTGGTCATAACTTTCCTTTTTAAAAGTAAGTTATTCTTCAATTATTCCAAGAATTAAAGAATGAAAAAGGATGTAACCATTAGCATGGAGCATATGAAATTAGCATGAAACCTTTTAAGGCCCCTACCCTGCAGGCATAAGTAAAATATTAAGAGAATTCATAGTGTTAATGACTATTGGTTAATGGTTTAGGAATTGGGCGCTTGGGAAAGTCTCCCTCAGTGTCAAGATGTTAAAAGACCGAAGGCATGGTCAGCTTCATCATCTGCTAATGAAGAGTGAACACATGACTTACTATATCCCCAGAGGCTGCAATGCCAAGTCCAGGGTGGGAGTGCGATAGACAACAAGAGTTTGATGAAAGGCAAGAGGTCTTGTCTGGGAATCTGGAGACCTGGATTCACATCCTAGAATAATTATTATTTAATCATGTTCACTTTTAACCATCCTTTCCTGTTCTGGAAGCCCTTTAATCTTTGTATGTTTCCTCATCTGTAGAATGGGTAGAACATAAGTGTCTTGGGGTAATGAATTGAAAAGGATAGCCATCCGTATCCTAGCAAACAGGATTTGTCTGGCCAGTCACAAGACAGAGTACTAACTACTATATGATCATGGCTGTGTGGCCATTCAGACAGAAATAAAATACATGTACAAAATATTCACAGTGATTACATTTTCCCCTCACCCGGAGATAGTCTTATTGCTGACTATTGGAGCCCAGTCTCTTGCTGGACCCCACAAATCCCCTTGGCCCAACATTTTTCCTTCACTGACTCTGTCACAGTGCTTGGAATCTCCTTGATTCTCACATCCTTAGTGTTCTGGTATGGGCATTCAACTGTTGTCTGGGATAAATGCTATATTATTCCATGATTATCTTCTAAAACTCTGGTTAAAGTGATCTTATCTGACTCCATGTGGATCATCTTGCTAGACTCAGTGGGAATGACCATGGCGTGGCTCCATATTATAGAGAGAAAGATGTCTGGAGAGGTCCCGAAGAGACCACATTTTAGATCAAAGGGCCAGTGTAGAGGGCCTCCCCCATAAGAGAGAAGGATGGGACAAGCAAGTTTAAGGCCAAGTCACTAGTGGATATGTTGTTTCTGTTGTATCTTGATTGTATTTTGGAGAACTAACCTTTCCTTTTTGGGTATGGCCTTGTTAAATATCCCCTCAATGGAATATGGGGATGGGGAGATATATATACAGGTATATGGACAGGTATATGATCTGAGCTAAGTCAGGCAGGTGCTGTCTTTTAGGTACTGAATCCAGAGTGGAGCAGTCGAAAGACCTAACATAGTTGGCATGCATCCATCTGATGGTGATGCCCTGAAGAGATGATTCAATAGCTCCTGCCACATAGATCCTTAGAGCTTCCCTCTAGCCTTCCTGAGCCTTCATTTTCAACTTCTTTTGATGCCTTCTGGTAAATTTTTTTCTTTCTCTTTCCCCAGCTATCTTTAAGTTAGCTAGATTTGGTCTCAGAATTCTTGGTGTCAAGCAACAAACATAAATATGCATGAAAAGGGAAAACAAAATCTTATCTAATACCATAGTTTGGCCTTTTCCCCTCTGTTGTAGCAAAGAGGTAGCTAAGACACATCTCTAAATGCCCTATCTGAAAGCACTTAAATCTGATGTTTCCATCAGAACTTTGGAGTTGGTCTCTCTTAAAACTCTGTGTAAAACTTAGCTGCCTACGTGGTCTTCAGATTGCTTCCTGAACAACATGGATTTACCAGGAAAGAAGGAGAACTTTGGTCTATTTCTTGTCTCTGTCTTTTGTGGGCCATTGATTAACTTCATGCTGTTATATAGGATACATTCTCTGAGATGAGGTAAGACAGTTTAGTTAAAAAAAAAAGCTACATGGCTTATTATAGAAAATGCCAAGAACCAGAAAGATGAAAACAAAACTCACCCATGATCTTCTCACCAGATAATTGCTTCTTAATATTTTTTTGCTGTACTTTTTAACAGTCTTTATGATCACATGTATTATATATTATATATATATTGTATATTTTGCAAAATATTGTAAATATTCTATATTTTACAAAAATGAGATCATAATGTTTTGAAAATTTAATGACATGAAAAAAATTAAATGTCTTGAAATTGTTGTAAATGTTGCCTAGTGGGGCCCATAGCCCACACTAAGGTCCGGCATACATTATCATTCCCTCTTAATAAACTGGTTGAGTGACCAGGGATAAATAAATAAAGCAGGTACTTTCTATGTGTGTGAGATCCAGGTTAGAGCTCTTGCACAGACCTTGATGGGCTGGAAGAGTTGTGTTGAAATCTGAAATGACCTTCACCCTGGTAGGCCTTCTGCAGCTTAGATCCTCAGTATCAGGCTGTGCCAGGGGAGAATTCGCTAATAAGCCATTTGTTATCAATACACTAATCTCTTCCAAGTACCAAACCCACAAAACTGTGCGAATGAGAACTCTTAACTTGCTTGCACATGACTGTGAAGATCTTTCCTCAGTAGGTTTCAGAAAGTGCTGAGAAGTCTCAACTGAGCAGCGTTCCAGGGGACGGGGGACAAGATTCTGGGCCACCATCTGCTTTACCAGGACACGCAAGTTCATCTGAGTGGTTGAGTCGGTAAGAATGCCTGCATTTTCTTGGAGGGAGGGATCTTGAATCATCTTATCTCAGGGATCTTCATTACACCTGGTTTTCTTAGCTTTGGAAACCCATTTTGCCAAAACACTACTTTTTACTGTTGCAGTCCTGAAAAATAGGGGACCTCAGGCTGATATGGCAAGTGACATGCTACTGTATCATTACCGCCTTACCATTAACCTTGCAGGATTGTGCTAGAGTAAGTGGGATGTATGTGAAAATGTACAGTTCTTTATTTTTAAAAATTTATATATTTATTTACTTTTGTGGTGAGTGGGCTTTCTCAAGTTGCAGTGAGCGGGGCTACTCTCTAGTTGCACTGCACAGGCTTCTCATTGCAGTAGCTTCTCTTCTTGCAGAGCACGGGCTCTCGGGGCATTTGGGCTCAGTACTTGCGGCTCATGGACTCTAGAGCACATGTGGCACATGCGCTTAGTGGCTCCACAGCGTGTGTGATCTTCCTGGACCAGGGATCAAACTCATGTCCCCCGGCATCGGCAGGCAGATTTTTTACCACAGGGCCACCATGGAAGTACAGGAGTCCTTTAAAATATAATCAGTGGTTCAACTTTCCAAGGCACGTTTACCTTTTGAAGAGAGTATGAGGCATTTGCTTTCATGTTTAAATTCAGATTTTAATCATTTTTAAAGGATAGTGTGTTGAAAAAAAGTGGTAATATTGGGTTGGCCAAAAAGTTCATTCAGGTTTTTCTATATGAACTTTTTGGCCAACCCAATATGTTGGTGGTAATTTTGGCAACTAAATAGAGTGGTGAAATACATGAGATATATCACTGTAACCATGTAAGAAGTAAACTCTAATGCCAAGTGCCATTGTTGATTTGTGTAAAAGGTCAGTGGTGACTATTAGTTCAGTAGAGCAAAAGTAGCAAAAAAAAAAAATCTGTATACACACATGCATATACATATTTCATATTATGTCTATTATACAGGCTTTTACCATGTAGCCACATTTACACATGTGATCTGCATATACATGCTTTAAGGTTGAGGGGTCTAGCTGCCAGTCTGGACCATTTTTAATGGCCTTCTTTGTGCTGTCTCAGCTAGCAGGAAGGCTCATAGCAACCAAAGCTTCAAGCAAGAACTAGGTTTACAAGGTCTGAAGTCTGCTACTGAAAACAACAGCAACTGACTAGCAAACTTCTTTGAGTTATCAAAATTTTAGATGCACATGTTAGATGTGCTTTCTGACTCAGGGCTGACAGTGAAAGTTGTTTTGCCCTAAATTTGAAGATGTCTCTACCGGTCATGTAGTAAGACTGACCGCAGTGGTGATAAGTGGTTGAGGAATGCCTACTAACAACCAACCAGGAAGTACAGGAAGATGTTTCAAGCTCTTCGTCCACTCCCAGTTCAGTACTACCTCTGAAGTGTTTGCTGTCAGACTGATTATTAACCTTTAGTCCATGGGTTGCAAAATAAAATGATGACAAAGACCATATAGATAATGCTCACTGGGTACAGTGGCAGGTTGCAGAAGGGCTGCCCCATCGAAAGGGAACAGTGGCTACTAAGTTTTACAAAATTCTTGGCACACAGGAATGCTGGCTCACTGTTGCCATATATTATGGAATATTTTGAAAGGAAGCCTGAAATTTCCTATATTTGCAGGAAGCCTATAGTTGTAAATGTAGATTCTATTTTTACAGATAAATTGTCACCTCTATCTTTCATCTTGTTGACTAAGTCAAATTGAAATGAAAAATTGGGCCATAATAAATACAACTGATTGTTGCCAATTTACAGTTTTTTGGGGTAGCACCATCTTACCCAAGGCTTGGGACTCCAGTCCCACCTTACTACGCAAGCTTCTTTAAGGTTAAGAAAATAGACTCTGAAGTTCCCACCTTGGATTTGTGATTCTTGAATACTAGTCTCATATAAACTCTCTTAGGCCAGTGAGGAGCACAGAGCCTTTGCTATTTTAGAACCTAATTGATAAATGCTAACATTCTGAACACTTACTACATTCCATGTAACAAAGTATTACTGTCATCTCATTTTTATAAAAACTATACGATAGGTACTAAAATTATCATCATCACATCCCTATTTACAGATAGGGAAACTGAGGCTCAGTGTCAGGCACAATTTCCCGGGGTCATCTAGTAAGTGGCAGATGTGAGATTTGAACTGTGACACCAGATCTCACAACCCAATTTGTAACCATATTATACTTTCTCCTGCTGCACTGTGTGAATCTGTAGCTTCTCTAGTCCCTCTGAGTTGTGATAAATTCCAGGCCTAAAATGTCTTCATGAATCAGTAAGGACATTTTCTGCTTTTGTCGCACACAATGGCATTATCTTTATCCTCATCCTTTGATTTGGGGTTTGCAAAATGTGTGGGAAGAGAGAAATTTTACAAATGCCTGGCTTTAGATCAGAGACGCCAATCTCCTTTTCCATGTTGTTTTCTATTCGGGTAGAAATCAAAAGTTAGGACAGGAGGTTTAAAGGCCAGAGTTATGTGTTTCACCTCCTTGTGGACAAGTTATTTAACCATGGCCACAGGGTACGGCCCTAACCACAGCCAGCTTTCTCACAAGTGCAAGCCGTGTGGGTACATCAGTTATCCTTGTTGGCAGAAATGCTTCAGCCTAGACCAATATACAGAAAGCACCACTGCTGTGAATGAAAGCAGTATGATGTATCCTGGGAGTACATATAGGTTTTAGCTTTGTTGTCAATGCCAGATGATGGGTGGCAGCTTCCAGGATGAGCACTGTGCTGAAATGCATTTGGAAACCCCATGAGGATTCATCAAAGAGTGCTGTAATTGATTGGTCATGGACCAATGGGGCCATGGGACATGGGACATGGACCTAGTGGCATTCCTGGTACAATCTGTTCTATGAAAGAGCTAAGATATCTCAGCCTTTGCAGCTTGAAACCTGTGTATTTTGTTATTCTTTTACCTGTCTCTTTCACAGTTCTCCTTCTGACTCTACTTTTCCTCAGAAAAAATGGCCAAACGCACCTTTTCCAGCTTTGAAATATTCCTGATTTTCCTCCTCGTGTTGATGACAGGGATCACGGTGGCCCTTCTCAGTCTGTTGTTTATCACCAGTGGGACCATTGAAAATCACACAGGCAAGTATCGTGAGTACTCTTGGATGCTATTCCTAGCCTGTAGGAAATTTCTTCGTTACGGGGAATACCAAGGCAAGAAACAGTGTCTGCTGATACTGCTGATAATAGGGCACTTCACTGTGTACTTAAGCACCAAAGGATGGTCATCTAACCTTTCCATTAGTTGCTCTTTATGCATTGATAGCAATTTTTATCAAGTTTACCTTTGCCCCCAAATAGCCAGTGTGGTGTTCTGACATGCACTTTTTTGTCCCACTTTTCCATTGATCTAAGTACAGCTTAGGATTCTTCAAGGCCCAGGGACTCCTGAACCTCTTAATTTTCTCTTTGCCTTCGTTCTGGCAACATCTTCTCCTGGGGGGCCAACGGAGAAGGAAAGACCTGCTGAATGTCAATTAGTCTGTGAAACTTTAGAGAAGGGATCTTGAACTCAAATCCTATGAAGGTCAATCAAGTTCCATAAAGGAGGGGAGGTGGCCCACCGTGGGGGGCAGGTGGCAGGTGTTTCCGGGGAAGAGGGTCCACAGGCCCTCCTGAGTGCCAACTGTTCGTTGCCATGTTGTCACATGGACTCAACTCTCCTGAGTTCTCAATGAAAGCTAGAAACTGGGGGAGGCAGTTTAGACACCTTCCAGTTTTTTTTTTTTAATGTTGGAAACTAGATTGGAAAACTATCTAGGCTCCATTTACAGGCAATACCAGGTCCATAGGTCTTTGATGGTGCCTCTTCTTTGATAGGTTATATACCTAATAAACCTGCCGAGATTTTCCTGCCGAGACAGCGCTTCTCAGCAGGAAAGCCATGACAAACAGACAGTGTGTTGAAAAGCAGAGACATTACTCTGCCAACAAAGGTCCTATAGTCAAGGCTCTGGTCTTCCCAGTGGTCATGTATGGTTGTGAAAGCTGGACTGTAAAGAAGGCAGAGTGCCCAAGAATTGATGGCTTTGAGCTGTGATGCTGGAGAAGACTCCTGAGGGTTCCTTGGGCAGCAAGGAGATCAAACCAGTCAATCGTAAGGGAAATCAACCCTAAATACTCATTGAAAGAACTGATGCTGAAGCTCCAGTATTTTGGTGATTTGATGTGCACAGACAACGTGTTGGAAAAGTTCCTGATGCTGGGAAGAGGGCATCAGAGGATGAGATGGCTGGATGGCATGACTGATGCAATGGACATGAACTTGGGCAAACTTTGGGAGATGGTGAGGGACAGGGAGGCCTCTTATACTGCAGTCCATGGGTTGCAATGAGTCAGACGTGACTTGGTGACTGAACAACAATAACTAATAAACAGTACAAAAGACAGGTGGGGATTGAATGCTTTGACCAAAGTAAAGGGTGGGCTTTATCACCAAGAAGTTCATCTCTATCATCTTCCTAGATTCCAGAGATCGGAATTGACATATAAACACCACTGTGTATAAAGTAGATAACTAATGAGAACCTACTGTATAGCACAGGAAACTCTACTCAGCGCTCTGTGGTGACCTAAATAGGCAGGAAATCCAAAAAAGAGGGGCTATATGTATACATACAGCTGATTCACTTTGCTGTATAGTAGAAACTAACACAACGTTATAAAGCAAATGCAGTCCAAAAAAATGGGGGGCAGGCGGAGAGAGGGCTGTCCTTAGCCAGTGGAGAAAGAGGCAGTGTTGTTGAGCTCACTTTTCTCTTTTGCGGCCTCTTCTCTTTTCCAGCGTGTTCTCTACCTGTCTTCATATTTTGGATTCCCTGAAAACCGAAAGAAACAGAGATCCTCTTTTCTGGCAGTGGACAGAATGAGTTTTATTGCTAGAAATGAAAGAATCCATAGGACTTAACCTAGTTTTCTGTTTTAAAATTAGAGAACCCAGAGTCTTAGGCTCAGAGAGGTTATAATGAAAATAGTGAAAATACTGGCCACTATTTTCATTTTGTGTACAGGTGTGTTTAGTTGCTCTGTAGTGTCTGACTCTTTGCGACCCCATGGACTTTAGACCACCAGGCTCCTATGTCCATGGGATTCTCTAAGCAAGAATACTGGAGTGAGTTGTTATTTCCTTCTCCAAGGGATCTCCCAACCCAGGGATCAAACCCAAATCTGCACTGCAGGCAGATAAAATGAGAAATTTACATAGAATGCTTACCATAGTGGTTGGTGGGAAGCAACCCTTCCATAAACAATAACTTCTATGATGAAAATAGTAAGCATTCTATGTAATTTATCACTTAATTCCTACAAAACTGCCATAAAGGTAGGTGCTAGCCTTAGTACCATTTTAGACATCTGAAACTCCGAGATGGAAAATAAGCTCCTTGGCTATGTGATTAGATTTGGCGTTGGCCTGTAGCACGTTTCTATGTTGGTTATCAGTGAGGCAGTAGCGAAGGTGCCTATTTCCTTCCTTGCAATACTTGATGTTTTGTAGAATACTCGGGCTTACGGGTGGGAAGGCATGGATTCTAACTGCGCTTAGAATGTGCATGAAAGAGCAGTTGATTCTGAGTTGGAGAATCTGATCAGGTACCTGATTCATCATATGCTTTCTATGGAAGCTTGGTTAAATCATTTCTCCGGGTTTCAGTTTCCTTATAAGTAAAATGGAGGTGATTGGATGATGTGATCTCTAAGCTTTCTTGAGTTCCAGAATTCTGGAACCCAGAAGTCTGCTGTTAATCTCTTGCCTAAGTACTTTCTGACCACTGATGCATGTAACACTGACATGTGTTGCTTTGGCCAACCCTGGCTGTTGTCTGGGGTAGAAACAGACAAAATGAAATATATAAAATGTCTAAATGTGTAAATAAAACTGAAGCTATATGTCAGCCATTGTTCTAAATTTTGACTATGTATTAAGATATTAATTGTCAATAAACCCTAGTAAGTAGGAGATGATTCATGTTATGAGAAAGTTATGTTACTTTTATTCATAGATGAAAAAAGTTGGGGTAAAATAGGTTAAGTCATTTATTCAGCTAGTAAAGGTAGAGTTAATTTTCAAACCCCAGTTGTTTCTGATATCTGCCCTTTTAGTCTCTATCCCATTTTGCCTCCCTTATATTAGGGTGTGTGTGTGATGTTAATACAGGGTATATATATTAGAGTGCATACCTGTATGGTGATATGAGAACAGTTAACATAAGGTGGGACTGTGTTAACAAGTATACAATAATCTAAGTTGCATTAAGAATAAAAGATCTAGGTTGCACTAAGAATAAAACATCTAGAGCAGGGTAGAGAGAGTTGGGGTTACATTCTGGAGGTAAGGAGTTGAGCTGGATTTGGGTAGGATGGAAATGAACCACTCTAAAATGTAATGGAGATTGACTGGTAAAATGGAGAGGAGTAAGGTCTCTGGATGGAGAGAATATTCGAACCCAGAGGCTGGATTTAGTAGACTGTGGGCCAGGAACCTGGTGCCTGATTTGTTTGGCTGGAGTAGAAGTGCCAGGTGAGTGAATGAAGAGCTCCAGTTTAACAGGAACAGCCGAGGGAGAAGTTAAAGGACATTTGTCAGAGACCTTTATTGTTAGGCTGAAACATTTCTGATCCATGAAAAAGATCCTCCTTGGGATAATGATACAAACCAAGTTCCTGAGATGTTTCTCACAGTGTATCTTACAGTCTTATCTTATCTTACATTCGTAAGAGAATATACAGAGATTATTACTTAGGAACCTGAATCTGTGTGTCCTAACTGAGGCCAAGTGCATGGGTTAAAATGTTGTTTCTTAAATATCTTATTTTGGTTTTTGATTCAGGTTCTCCATCCACCCAGGGCCCTCCAGCTACCCAGGGCCCTGGAGCCCCTCAAAACTCAACACCCCCCTGGGGCCCCACAACTACCCAGGCATCTCCAACACCCAGCACCCCAGAGCCTACCCTCTTTCAGAACTTCAGTGGCTACCATATTGGTGTTGGGCGAGCTGACTGCACAGGACAAGTATCAGATATCAATTTGGTAGGTAAATCATGGGATCCTTGAAGAGACTGTGAAACAAGTAATTTTATTATATAGTACTCTGCATTTATTCCTAATTGTTATGTCTTAATCTCCTCCATTTGTATTGACTTCACTGCTGTCTAACATTTTAAATATTGTACTATAAGGAAGAGGGACCTTTTAGTTAACCACAACTCCCTTGTAAACTCAACTGGCCCATTTTTTATAAATGAAAGTGGCAGAGTGGGCAAACTCAGATACTACAGGGGATGGACAGGTACTCCGAATGACTGAAGCAGGCCAATACAAGATGAATGTCTAGTAAGTCCTAAGTGTGGGGGGCAACAGAAAGTGGTGGGGACTGTGGTATAACTAGAAAGTTTGAGTGGTTTTAACTGATCATTGCCATGTAAGACTGTGAAACTAGGGCTGCCTCACCTTATAGTTCTTTAAAGAGAAGCCAGGGCTTCCCTAGAGGCTCAGACAGATTAACAGTCTGCCTGCAATGTGGGAGACTGGGGTTCGATCCCTGGGTCGGGAAGATACCCTGGAGAAGGGAATGGCTACCAGCTCTAGTATTCTTGCCTGGAAAATCCCATGGACAGAGGAGCTTGGTAGGCTGCAGTCCATGGGGTCACTAAGAGTCAGACACGACTGAACGACTTCACTGTCACTTTTTACTTTCATGCACTGGAGAAGGAAGTGGCAACCCACTCCAGTGTTCTTGCCTGGAGAATTCCAGGGACAGGGAGCCTGGTGGGCTGCCGTCTCTGGGGTTGCACAGAGTCGGACACGACTGAAGTGACTTAGCAGTAGCAGCAGCAGTTGGAAAATGTAAGCAACTCTACTTAAAACCGGAAATCTGGTGTGGGCCAACACTGTGTTAGCCAAGTAAAACCCTTTTTGGGGCCAGGGGTGGCCTGTGGGCTGCTGGCATGCAACCTCCTGATGGTGATGTTAGACACACACTTCTAGCTACCCTTTCCTAGGGAATCAGAGCATGAGATTTCCTGATAGGATTTTTTTTTTCCCCTCCAACCAAATAATCTTTAGATTCTAGAAATTATTCCTTGTTGTCCATTCTGAAAAGTGACTCTGGAAAGTAAACTTTAAATGAGCACTTGCATGAGGGATAAGGCAAGCTGTAGAGGGACCATGCTGAAGACCTGGTGCAGCTTTTATGGGTACACTTTGTGACATGGTGAGAGAAGGGGTTTAAGATTGATGTATTTGGTGGGCTACAACATTGAGAGGGACAACATTGTAAAAGCCAGGGTGAGGTACCCTCAGTAAAGATAACTGTGTCCTAAAGAAACCATTTTCTTTAGGAAAAAAAACAAAAAACAAAAAACCACACACCAGACAACCAAAGTGAAGAGGACTTCAGTCTTCAGGGTATTCCTAGAAATGTAGGATGATAGTCAAGGAAGTATTTTCTTCTGTAGTACCTTACATAGCCTGGAGAAAAGATCCTGTTTCAAAGAACAGAAAAACCCTGAAAGGTCCCCAGCATTATAACACAATTCCCAAGTCACGCCAGCTCCTGCCTTGCCCACAGGCCAGCAAATAGCTTCTTCCAACCCGGCCATTACTTTGCCTCTTTCTGCACAGAGCAGTAAAGACTTTTTGTGTGTGTGTGATGTTGGCTTTACTCTTGAAAACACATGTCCTGTCTCTCTCAGAGCCACAATGTCACGTGGATTGCTTTTCTTTGCCTTTCCTAAGTAGTCTCTTGTATGGTTGTGTCTGGCTTCTGGTAGCAACAGAATGAGAAATGAGGAGTGGTCTGATGCTCTCTTCCTCTTTAGATGGGCTACAGCAAAACTGGCCAGTATGCACGGGGCATCCTCACGAGGTTGTACAGTCGTGCGTTCATCATGGTGGAGCCGGATGGGTCCAATCGCGTAGTGTTCGTCAGCATCGACATAGGCATGGTCTCCCAGCGACTCAGGTTGGAGGTAAGTGATTGGGGTGAGAAAGAGTTGCCGTGGTTTAAAGGCAAAGCCTGCAGGTGAATGTAAATAAGGAACTAAGCTCTCCTGGGTTTCTCACCTGGTGAATTTCCACTACCCTCAGGGTTATAAGCTCTTGACAATCCAGCTGATAATCAAGTGAGGAGGATGAGCCTCATTATTCCATTCTAAGTCAGCTTGGTCAGACCTTGCTTTCCATACTGCTGATGGCTTGTCATCGTTATTAATGCCAATATATTTCACAGGCTTATTATGTCCCAGGTTACTTTCCTGTATACTCTGTCATTTAATCGTCCTTGTTAGAAGTCTGAGAGTGCCAGTTAATTACTAACCCTTCCCTCAAGTTTTTAGACAATTGAAAATAGTTGCAAGGAATGAAAGAGAATTCAAATGCAACTCTGAGATAAAATTGGCCATAAATTGCTGAAGCTAGGTGAAAGCACACTGTACTATTCTGATGTGTACATATTTGAAAATGTCCTTAATAAAATTAAGAAGATTACATTAGCCCTCTTAATCTTTAAACTGTGTTGCAGAATATCGCAGGGCCTGTGATTTTCCCCCCAATTTAGATCATGTTACCCCACTGTGGGAAAGATGAGCTCAGCAGCAAGGTGCCTGGGAGTCCTGGGCAGGCAGCTTATAAGATGCAAGGGGTAGAGGAGGGAGAGAGAAATAGTGATAGACAGAGGGACCTCCAAGTATGTCTCTCAGCCAATTTCTAGACCCTGATCCAATTATATTTTCTCCAGGGATCAGGACACAGAAAGAAAGTATACACTCCATGTCTGCTCACATATTCACAAACGTGAGAAAGAGGAGAGTCTAGAACATCCAGAGTGATGACCATCAGATGTCCACTATTCAGTGTCATGTTCTATCAACCTCACCAAATACTCGCTCCCCTTGTGTGAAAGGGCTGTGTGAAGGAGCCAGGAAGAGGGATGACGAGAGAGCTTAAAAACATGTCTTCAGTGTCACCCACTTATGGGGAGTAGGATGGGAGCCTCTCACATCTGTGGAAACATAAGGAGCAGAGGATGCAGTGCTTTTCCAAGCCCTGCACTTAACACAACTATGAGGTGGGTCTGTTGTCGTCCCCGATTTATAGATAAAGAGACTGAGGCTTAGAGATGGTTGAGTAACTTTCCGAAGTTCACACAGTTAGCAAACAGTAGAGCTGAATTCTGAACACACATATATATATGCCTGGTACCAGAGCCTACATGCTTAAAAGTGAGGTCATTCTCTTATCTTGGAGAGCATTGACTTTTTGCAGGCACTTTGTTGATCACTTCAGGGGGCACACAGCTAAATGAATCATAAGCCTTGTTGATGAACTCACTACCTAGTCGGGGGATTAGAGGAAGGACTGTACCAGAAATATACAAATAACTTTAATTTATTGGAATGAATGACAATGGTATACTATAGATATCTATTCATGAGTAATAACTAGCTCCCCCCAAATAGGGACTTAATGGACATCTGTTGTTTTATCTCATCATTCTGTTGATGAGGAATTCAGAGCTGGCTTAGCTAGGTGGTTCTGAATTAGGGTAGTTGGCAGTCAAGGTGTTGGCAAAGGCTGCAGTCATCTGAAGATTCAGGTAGGCTAAAAGATCCACTTTCAGGATGATTCACTCTTGTGGCTACTGACAGTTTCCTCACTGTCCATATCCTCATGACAGAGCAACTGGTCTCCCTTATAGTGAGTAACTCAAAAGAGCAGTGGAAATGGCACTTGAATGGGTAGAGTTTTATTTATTTAATATTTGTTGTTATTTATTTATTTGGCTGCACCAGGTCTTAGTTGTAGCATGTGAGATCTAGTTTCCTGACCAGGAATCAAACCCAGGCCCCCTGCATTAGGAGCAAGGAGTCTTAGGCCCTAGACCACCTGGGAAGTCCCTGAAAGAGTAGAATTGGTTGACTTGGGGGAGAAAGCTATCAAATCAAGGGGACAGCTTGATTTGTACATGTACAAATCATATACACAGAAACACAGGGAGAAATGTAAATGGAAATATGCCTGGAAGATATGCTGGTCATAATTTGTAGGCCTCTGGAATGCTTGATTGTTTATAATTCTGGGTGATGGAGATTCTTAGAAAACTTTTGCAAGGGAGCAGTGCAAACACAGTTCTGCTTTAGGATGATTAATCAGACGGTGATGTTTGAGGTAGGTTGAAATAGACCAGCGAGAGAGGTGAAGACACACACCTTAAATTAATATCCAGGCTCTATTGATGAGACTTCAGTTGGGAAAACAGTAATCGCACCAGGCATTTCAAACGGGGGATAAGGTATGGGGAGATTTTACAAGGTGTTATTATGTCATCTGACAGATTGGGAAACTGATTTTCAGAGTACCAAGTAACTTGTCTAAGGGTACTGAGTTAGGAACCCTCAGAACTGGGATTCAAACACTGACGTCTTCCTGCTGGAGAGTATGGTCATAACCACAGCACTATACTGTTTTTCTGAGGAATCAAAAATGGTTCTGATTGGGAAATTGTGCCTTCATTAAGTCAAAATAAGACTTCAAACTTCTGTGCTCTCCACACTCTACCTTTGGGGGTAGAGTATGGGGGGGATAGGGATTTAATGTGTTGGATTAGAGACCACTATCCAGTCAATTGGAGAAGGCAATGGCAACCCACTCCAGTATTCTTGTCTGGAAAATCCCATGGACAGAGGAGACTGGTAGGCTGCAGTCCATGGGGTCGCTAAGAGTCGGACATGACTAAGCGACTTCACTTTCACTTTTCACTTTCATGCACTGGAGAAGGAAATGGCAACCCACTCCAGTGTTCTTGCCTGGAGAATCCCAGGGACAAGGGAGCCTAGTGGGTTGCCGTCTTTGGGGTCGCACAGAGTTGGACACGACTGAAGCGACTTAGCAGCAGCAGCATCCAGTCAATAGTGGGCACCATTTAACCATCTCTTCCAATTTTTACTTCCCCTGCAATCTGAGACCCAGAGGAAAGACTTTGAAATGAACCCACTTACTTATCCTGTTAATTCAAGGGGAAAATGTGAAAAATAAATCTAACTAGACTAGTGCCATTAAGTTTATGATAACACCCGGTTTTAGTCAGGTTCTCAGTCTCACCTTTAAGAGTGATAACATTTGCAGCATGGAGAAAAGATTAAAGAAAAGATCTCCAAGCAGTGACGCCGGACAGGAGAACAGAGTGACTTTTCTAGCTCTTTCCACGTCACGTTTCCAAGAGTGTCAGCAATAGGAAATGGAATGGAAACTGAAGTCAGACAATTGCGCTATAGACATTAATATAACTTTATAGGTCTATATAAAAATACTCCTCCTTTCATGGAAGTAGGAAACATGCTACTTATAATGGTTATTGGCAGGTGTTGTTAATAGATGACGGAGTCTTTAATTTTTTTCTTTTCCCCAGAAGTCTCACATGTCTGACTTCATCTCAGAGACTAAAGCTTAGGATAAGATTTCTGTGAGCTGTTTGTAGTCTTTTCATTTTAAAATTCAAGATTCATGATTTCTATGTTTTTAAGAGCTTGATTCTTGCATAGAATGTACTTAATGTACTTAATTCTAAAAATCCTGTTACAGTTCATTAGAAATAAAGATGGGTGGGACATTAGAGTTTTAAGGTTGACTGACAGTTCTTTCTTTTCCACAACCTTCTTGCCTTAGTTACATAATTGTAAAAATATCAGCTTCTATTTTTAATAAAGTTTTTATTTTATATTGTGGTATAGCCAGTTAACAATGTTGTGATAGCTTCAGGTGCACGGCAGAGCGACTCAGCCTTACATATATACTTATCCATTTTCTACTAAACTCTGCTCCCATCCAGGCTGCCACGTGACATGGAACAGAGCTCCCTTTGCTTTGTAGTAGGTCTTTGTTGGTTATCCATTTTAAGAATAGCAGTGTAGAACATCAGCTTTTTACTTTGCTTACGCTTTTATGTTGTCCATTCATTGATGGTTTCCCCTTCTCCCTACAGACGTTTCTTCTTCATGAAGCATTAATAGTTACTGTGTAAAACAATATGTAAGAGTGATGAAGAGTTGGGCTGAAATTAGAATCAAACAGAAAGAATATGGAAACTTACTGGGGTGGAGAATGTGGGCTTGTAATGTTGGTCTTTATTGTTGTTGTTAAGTCACTAAGTTGTGTCCTACTCTTTGCGACCCCATGGACTGTCCATGGGGTTCTCCTGGCAAGCATACTGGGGTGGTTTGCCATTTCCTTCTCCAGGGAATCTCCAGATCTGGGATTAAAGCTGTGTCTCCTGCATTGGCACAGAGTGCAGATTCTTTACCACTGAGCCGCCAGGGAAGCCTAGTGTTGGTCTAATTCCTTTCTATTTCCTTTCCACATTTTCCTGGTATTGCTTACATGGATGTGGTAAATCTAGCAATCAGTATTTGGGACATGGAGAAGTTAAGGAGACCAGATGGTTTGTGATATCTCTTCCTGATTCAATGACCACATGACTAGAATGAGGGTGGTGGAGCTCTTTACCTAAAATAGAAGTTAAATGGATGTGTTTATGTAGGTTCAGTAGGTAACACACCAGTTGCTGCTGCTTCTTTATGCACCCGTGGTGTGCTGAAACTGGCTTGTACCACCTAGTGAGGATTGATTGTCAAATATTTAGAAACTGTGAACTGGAGGTTAAACTTTTGGTAGTTTGAAATTCACTATGGTGAGAGTATTTACATCATGGTAATTGGCAGATGATACAAATAAGGGTTTTCTTTTTTCTTTCAGAGAAACTGTTTATCAGCATACTACTGCCTATACCATACTCAAAATGGACAGCACTGCTAATCAAAAAAGGCACTCTTTTGGGTCTTCCCTGGTGGTCCAGTGGTTAAGATTCTGTGCTTCCATTGCAGGGGGCTTGGGTTTGATCCCTGGTCAGTGAACTAAGATCCTACATGCCCTATGACATGCCACCCCCACCCCAAAGTACTCCTTTTTGCTAAGCCCAGATTTGGATTCAGAATCCTTCTCAGCACAGTACCTCTGATAGCAGCCACCCACAAACAGGACTAAATGCATGAGATAAGCAGTATTTGCCTGCTCTGACATAAATGAGTTTTCACTATTGTCCCTGGTATTAGGTTATAGTATCTTACACTGAGGAAGGTTGCTTTGGGATTGACACTTTTGCTGGAACATTTTAATAATTCTTGACAAAAAGGTCAAAACATGTTTCACAAGCCACAGTGATGCCAAACTTTATATCGCAGATGATTAGAGCAAAACTAGAAATAGGTATTCAGCACTAATGCAGTATTTCAAAGTCAATTATACTTCAATAAAAAGAGACATTTTAGCCAAAAAAAAAAAAAAAGAGAGAGAGAGAGAGAGAAAAATAGTACTCGGCAACATCACTAATTTTCTGTTGTTTTCTTGATGTGTGTATATCCTCCAAAGACATTAATTATTTATTATTTCTTTGGATGTTCATTGACTAATTCAATGAACATTTACTGACTCTTTGAATTAGGTATCTACTGCTGTGCAGCAAGTCATCAGAAAACTCAGTGGCTTAAAGTAACAATAATTATGTGTTATTGCTCAGGATTTTGGTGAGTGGCTGTGTTGGGTGAGTCTGACTTGTGTTAGAACCACAGCCACATATCATTACTTTTGTATCATGAGGTTAACTCAAGATATTGGCTGTGACTGCAAGTGTTTGAAGCTGGTCTGAGGATGAGGGATCACCTTCCACGGTTGCTCACCAATGGCCAGCAAGTTAGTGATGACATGATGATTCCTTTCTCCATGCGCCTACCCACAGGGATGCTGGGGTGTTCTCAGGTCATAGCGGGCGGTCTTCCCCAGACCAAGAAGTGTAAGTGTCTGTGTCTGGGAATACTGAGTTCTTCATTTTGGGAAATGAGACAGTGAAGAGGCTTTTTCCCTGTCTGTTCACTGCTCCCAGGGTGCTGGCTCCACCCAACTCCGGTATTGCATGACCATCTTGCTCTCTTTGGTTAAGCCTCTGATGAAAGGCAACATCTGTGGAAAGATCTTTCCTCACTAATGCCTATCACGTTCTTTTTCCTTACCTAACAATATTTTTTTCTTAGCATTTATCACTCTGTAATGTAATATTACATATTTATCTTTCCCTAACTAGAATAAAAACTTTTTCAGGGTAGGGACCTCATATATCCCTAGTGCTTAGAACAGTGTCTGGACAATGAACTGGTGAGAGTACTAGGTCTATAGGTAGATTTGGATCTAGACTCTGACTCTGCTATTTGTTATATCACTGGGCAACTTATTTTACTTCTGGACACATCAATGTTCTTAGCTAAAAGATAAGATTAAAAATACCTACCTCTTGGTGGTGTTATAAAGATTTTTAAATGGCATGATGTAATACCTAGCATTGTGCTTGCATATGGGAAGAATTTATAAAGTGTTAGCAATTGCAATTATGGTTGATGTCATTGTTACTGAGATGATAAACTCAAGCATAGAGTGAAAGGTCACTTAACAGGGATGTCCAGCGTAGTGATTAGCCTCATCAGAGCTTTTCCTCAGGCTAAGCACCTGTGTTATTCCTCTTCTTAGTTCTGATTGTTCTTTTTTTTCTTCAAGGTCCTGAGCAGGCTGCAGAATAAATACGGCTCCCTGTACAGAAGAGACAACGTTATTCTAAGTGGCACACATACACACTCGGGTCCAGCAGGATATTTCCAGTACACAACATTTGTAATTGCCAGTGAAGGATTTAGCAATCGAACTTTTGAGTACATGGTCACTGGCATTGTGAAGGTAGGCAAGGGAATTTCAAGGCAACTGTTGTTTAGCATTGCTTACAGCACCTTAGGAGAGGTCTCTTATGATACAAAGAGTCCCTATAGGATCTCGGATACCAGCTCAGAATGACACCAGCTCTGTGGCTCTCCAGCTTTCATCCCATAGCAGGGATAAGTTGGAGACAAAAGAAATTGTCCACAGTGCTCTTCTATTTATATCAACTAAGTTCTTATGCCCACTAGGATTTCTAACTTTACAACCTTTTTTTTTTTAAACCCATAGAGCATTGAGATAGCACACACAAATATGCAACCAGGCAAAATCTTTATCAATAAAGGGACTGTGGATGGTGCACAGATCAACCGAAGTCCTACTTCTTACCTTCGGAATCCACAGTCAGAGAGAGCAAGGTGAGGGGGCCAGTTATCGGAATGAAATGCATGTGCTTTCCCTTAGGAACTATCAACAAAATCTAAGGACAGGGTTGTTAGTTGATGGATATGGTGAGAGCCTGAAGGAGTGTTAAGGCTGAAATAATCTAAAAGCTGTCTGTAATCTAAAACAATCAGAAATAAAATGAGACTGTAGAAGCACAGAAAAACCTGTGTACACATCTTCCTACTTTGCTGGCTGTGGGAATTGGATGTGAATGTTTGAAGGATTCTAGGCTTTCAAATCAGGTGCAACTGTGGTCTTGTCTTAGCTTTATCTCTTTGTAGTTGTGTGATCTTTATTGATTTACTTAAATCTTAATTTATTGGCTCTCAGCTTCTCATCTGTAAAATGCAATAATATGCATAACATATATTTGTTCAATTAATGAATAGCTCTTTTTTTACATTATTCAGAAGAAATCATTTTAGTCCAGGGGAATGTAGCAAGATAGATAAGGTAAAAGAATAAAGAAATTGGCATGAAGAGCAAGCCATAAAACTGATGTAATTGAATGGGACAACTTAAGAAAGGTCATTATTTAAAATTTTTTTTAATGTGATAAACTGGGTTTATGACAGAAGAGAAGTACTTGGCTACTATGGCAAAATAAAATAATATCTCACTTCAACCTGACATTTTTATTTGTTTACTTTTTTTCTGATAGATTTCAAAGGAGTTGAGTTTTAGAAAATCTACTCTGATTTCCCTCCAAAGGACATAAAAGAACCCTTTAAGTTGTAGGTCAGGCATGCTTTTGAGTTTGCACATTACCTGCTATTTTTAAGAGATTTCATTAAAACTTGATACAAGTAGAAATTTCAAAGACTAATCCTTTCCATAAGAAATAATATATGTTATATAATATTGCAGATATTATATAAAAACATACATTTCATCTCGTTATCTGACTTGTGCCCCTAACTTTGGTCACAGTTGCAAACATTTCTTTAGCTAAGAAATAAGACCCTGGATGCAGTTTGTAGGATTACAAGTATCAGGGAACCTTGCTTACTGAGAGTCATTTTGTTTTTTGTGTCAGCTTCTGCTTTGTCATACACAAGGGCCAGGCTCTAGCCTAGAACTCACTAAGTTTGTTTATTTTGCTGACTAGGTATTCTTCAAATACAGACAAGGAAATGGTGCTCTTGAAAATGGTGGATTTGAATGGAGAAGAGCTGGGTCTTATCAGGTACTCTGTTTATTTTTTTCTTTTTTTAAATTCTGTTTGGATACATTTCTTTATATTACAGAGAGGGAAAAAAAAGATCAGAATAGTGGCAGGAGCGGCTAAGAATAAGCTGAGTGTTTGGGTTGGAGCTGGGATCCAGCCATGGGCCCTCGGGTATGGTTCTCAGCATCCTGGGTCTAATAAAAGGATTATGTGAATGAGGGATCTGAGTGAAGGAGTTTAATACAGTGTCTGACATAGGATGGACTCAGTAAATGCTAGTGGTTATTACTGTATCAAGATCTCATGTGGAGGTGATTATCACTTTATCAAGATATCATGTATTAGATAGAGGACAATGATCTCTTGGAAATGAGAAAACAGTCTGACCAACCAGGCAGGTGACTATGAGTTTGAGATTATTGACCTATGTTTATCTAAAAGGAATAAGTTAAGTCTAATGCAGAACAATGCCAGTTAGTGATGAGAGCAGAACCGAGACCACCTAGTGGAAGCAGATGAGGTAAAATTACCGCTTGGCAGAGATTTTAGGCCCCATTTTATATGTAAGAAAACACATGGGTTTTGTTTTCTTTGAAAATAAGACATTTGTACTCCTATGTGATTTTGATTGCTGTAAGGGAACTGACTAAGGTGTTGCCTGGGTGGGTAACAGTCCCAGACACTTTGTCCAGTGGACTTCCAGATTGATGCACGAATGCCCTAAGAAAGTGGATGATAGCACATGGGTGTGAGAGTCAGATGGCTTGGGTTCACTCTGGACTCTCATTCTTGGTAGCTGTGTGACTTTGGTCAAGTTTCTTAACTTCTCTGTGTCTGTTTTCTTACTCTAAAATTGAGGGATAAAATGAGTCCTTAAATACTGATAATAACTTCATAAAGGAAGTAGAGATCTATCAGGATTATAAAATAGCTCTGAAAGTGAAATATCTGTGAAAGTTTCTGTGTGAGTAAAATTAAGTAACTTAAAAATAATAAGAGGTGAAGAAAAACGTGAAAGATTATGATTAGTCAGTTCAGATACTAGAGTTGGTCCTAACTGCATGGAGAACACATGATGGCAAGGAGTTCACATTTCAGTCTTAGGTACAGGTTTTCAGATTTGAATTCAAGCCCAAGCCCTGTCTCTTACTAACCCTGTGTCCTGGGGAAAGTAATTTATCTGCTTATATGTCAACTATCCTGTTTGAAAATGAGAATAGTAATACCTCTTAGGATTATTTGAAGATTAAATGAGATAGTGCATGCAAAACTCTAGTTCTGTGCCCGGCATAGAAAGAATTTAATAATTTTAGCTGAAAGGTAAGAAGTAAATAATACAGTACCTCTTCTGAAAGTTCCATTATTGGCATATTGGTATGCTTGAGCTTCTTAGCATTGGAGTTAGTTCTTTGGAGTTAAAGTGAGGTTACTAAAAATTCCCTGATAAAATAAACATTATTATTATGGGATGATGTAATATAATTCATTCTTTGAGTACAGTTAATTCATCTATTGATTAGTTGCCACCCAGCATTTAACACAGTAGTCTTCGTAAATGTCAGACATGCAATTATGTTCTTGAGGTATATTATTATGAATCAAACATAGACCCTATCTTCAAGAGTCTTACAGGCTAGTGGGATGGTTAGGGCTGGAGAAAGAGACAGAAACAGACAGACAAGTAATCATAATGTAAATCAGATGGTTGTCAGTGCTATCACCTGGGACTGAGCTCTACCTGGGAGCTTAGTGGAAGGCTTCAAGGAGGAAATGACATTTGAACTGTATTTGAAGGAGCCATGAGATTTCTCAGGGGGCCATGAGAAAACTGCATTATGAGGCCAGAGTATGAGCTTAGGTCAGGAAGTGGGTGAGAGATGAATCTGGAAGGGTAAGCTACCTCTTGATTTTTGAGTACCTTCGTGGGGAATTTGGTTAGGAGACAGACAGGGAGAACATGTATGTATGGCTAGTTAGATGAAAAATCTCCAAATCTGTTAGAAAAAGAAGATGCCTTTTCCCTTATAGTTTCTACCTAATTCTTGGCTGAATGACTGAGACCATTCATGATTCCCTTTTATTAGTTTCTGAGTCATTGAACAATGCCAAGAGAATTCTCAGTGATATTTGGGGGGCCAGATGTTTCTTGCTTCCTTGCATATAACTATATAATATATCTGGAAGTCCCAGGGTCAACTGTCAAGGTTATAATGATGCTTTTCCATCTGCTGTACTTAACAGCCTGCAACAACTTCCTATTGTTTCTGTTGCTGCCATATGTTATCCTTGATGTAATTGCCCCTGCAATTGCCTCTTGTTGCATAGGGATAATTGCTCTCTGAATACATTAAAAATGATCCAAAACATAAAGTCAAATCTGGGCCGCTAAGTAACTCAGCCACCATATGTAGGTACCTGCTGTGAGATGGAATCCCAAGGTATGAGCAGTTTGGGAGCACAGCATCTCAGATTTACAGAGTATAAAGTCACCAAGTTTAAATTTCAGCTGAGGCCTACAAAAGTGATGCAACCTGTCCAGTGTCATGCCAAGACTATTCTCTTTAATGAAAACCATGTTGAAGTTCATCATTTATTCTTTGCTACTTTCACTTTTATTTTCATTTCTTCACTTAACAAGTCTGAACCAGTCACCTACTATATGCCAGGCAGTGCTTTCCAGTCCTTGAAATGATTCCTTTCTAGTTAAAGGTCCTAATGTAAGAAGTCAAATACCTGTGTCTGTGCTTCTTGAGCAAATCCTTTAAAATCTGAGCCTCCACTTTCACATTTCTCAAGTGTAGATGTACAGTATGATTACATCCCTCCACATATCCACATACAGATTGTTATGAATTCATTTTTTTACTAAATATTGTAGAATACATGTGTCATGAACTGAACTAGTACCATAGAATACACTGATGAGAAAAAAATCGATGTCCTAGGTATTGCTCCTTAAAGAACTTATAGTCTATTGGTGGAGACAAAGGTAACCAAACAGTCATACAAGCCAATGTATAACTGCATTAAGTGCTAAAAAAGAAGGTATGCAGAGTTGTAAAGGGAATTGACCTGATCAGGGAAGTTGGGAAAGGCTTCCCTGATAACTCAGTTGGTGAAGAATCCAGCTGCAATGCAGGAGATACAGGAGACATGGGTTCTATCCCTGGGTCAGGAAGATCCTCTGGAAGAGGAAATGGCAACCCACTCCAGTGTTCTTGCCTGAAAAATCCCAATGGACAGAGGAGCCTGGCAGGTTATAGTCCAAAGGGTTGCAAAGAGTCAGACATGACAGATACATGCAGATGTCAGTTGTCCCCAAGGATAAGACAGTGGAACTGAAAACCAAGGCAGGGTGATAATTAACTGGCAAAATGTGGGGGTGGAAAAGAGCTTTTAACACAGAAAAATATGTGCAAAAATCATGTAGCCTGTTTGAGGAGTTGATAGAAGCTCTGTGTAGCTGAAGTACAGAGGACAGTGAGGTAGGGTCCTGCGAATTAAAAGTTAGACGTAGAGGTTAGACACCATGATAAAGATTTGGGTCTTTATACAAAAAAATTGAAAATCACTGCAGTGTTTAAAGCTGGGGTTGGGAATTGGGGGCTATTGAAGGGTTAGGAAGGGTAGTGGCTTGAAGCATGAAAGAATCATGTGCATGACATTATTTCATAAAGCATTAAGTCCCCTACAATTGTAAGGCCAACACTTGCCTCGGTGGATCAATCTCTACTGTTTGGTGCTGCAGTGGTAAAGAATCTACCTGCAATGTAAGAGACCCAGGTTCGATTCCTGGGTAGGGATCCCCTAGTGAAGGGAATGGCAACCCACTCCAGTATTCTTGTCTGGAGAATTCCATGGACAAAGGAGGCTGGTGGGCTACAGTCCATCAGGTCTCTAAGTCTGACATGACTGACTGATTTAACACTACTACTACTGCATGCAGACACAGTAAATGATTTTTTACCCAAACGTGGAGAACATGTTTGGAATGTTTTGAATTAAAATATAAGCTGTGTGGAAGTCAGAAATTCACTTTGGGAGGTTCTCGAAGGCATCTCAAAGGAGTCAACCAGTAGAGGTGATGACGACTCCTGGGAGACCCTGAACGATGAAGGGAGAAAACAAGACAGGTTTCAACAGACTTACAGACTTAGAGAACAAACTTATGGTTACCAGTGGGGAAGGATAGGGAAAAGGGATAGTTAAGGAGTTTGGGATGGACATGTACACACTGCTATACTTAAAATGCGTGACCAATAAGGACATGGAATACCAACAAGGACAGCACGTGGAACTCCGCTCAGTATTATGTGGCAGCCTGGATGGGAGGGGAGTGTGGGGGAGAATGGATGCATGACACATGTTACATACATGGCCGAGTCCCTTTGCTGTCCACCTAAACTATCACAGTGTTGTTCATCAGCTGTACTCCACTGTAAAATAAAAAGCTAAAGAAAACATGTTTCAAATGTCTGCAGCAAACAGAAAGTCATAGGGTCGGGCACTTCACCTGAATGGCTGCTCTGGGTGGTGGACAGTCCCTTCCTATACAGTTGAGAAAGGGCAGGTGGCTCTGGGGGTGGCAGTTGGGAGCACTGACTCTTTCCCTCAAGGGTAAGACAGCAGGACAGCCTCTGTCTCACTGCTTTTCCCTTCTCCTAGCTCATTGCATTTGCCAAGTTTCCTTCCTCAAGTATGCAGGAGTGGCATGGACCCTCCTTTTTTTCTCATCTTGTTAGCCCTCTAGGAGTCAGTATGACATGAGCTATAAGAAAGCTCTGAGCAGGGTTTTGAATGATTTCTCTATTGCCTTCTGTTTTATGCATTGCAAATCCTTTTATTATTACAGAAGGGGGTTAGCCTTTCAAGGAACATTTTAAAAAGATAGCAAGTGACAGTAATTTGCTCAACCTATTTGAAGAGTTTTTGCACACACTTAGAAAAACCCAATTTATGAAATTAATTCATTTGAATGATACTTATAGAGCTCATTTTGGGAGGGGTGTGTGTGTGTG